AACACCCGACCCGACGAAGCGACTCTACCAGACTCAGTAACGGGAGGAGACGCAGTGGTCAGTGTGTACAGGCTCGACCCCGGCTGACGGGTAAACGTAGCCAGGTGTCGGCCTGTGCTAGCCTCTGTACAGTGCGTCACGCGCTGACGCGCAGGAGTGAACTGGTGTACACCCGCATCCTGGAGGTCAGCACCACTCACCAGGTTCGTAGAGAACGAGGGGAGGTAGAGACCAGACAGGGTGCCAGAGGGAGCCGCCGGACACGGGAGGACTGTGGAGAAGCGAGACAGGACAGGACCCCCAGAGGGGTCAGCCAGAGACACTGCAACCGGCCGACTCAGCGGTGTGAGTGTGGTGCAGTCCCGAAAGAAGGAGCGAGACGCCCCAGAGTCAAGGGTGAAGGTGAGGGAGGCCGAAGCCGACGTAGTACCTGAGAGCGCAGACTCACCAGTACCTGAGGACGCAGACACACGGGCACCTAGAGCAGCAGCGTCGCAAGCACCTAGGGCAGCAGCCTCACCAGGACCTAGCGCAGCAGTCTCAATGCCCGGATCGGGCGGGAAACACCGGTAACAGTCACCCTCATCACTAATAGACACAGCATACATGGCAGAGAGAATAGCATCAAAGTCAAGATCATAGATGGCAACACCCGCCCTGGACAGCTCGCCCCAGCGAGGGATCTCTGAGGCCTCCGGGAACTGGTGACGCCACGCGTCCGTCAGGCGGCCAAAGCAGCGCTGGGTGGGGTGGGCACCCCCACACTGCTCACCCGCACGGTCGCCGGTGCGCAAAACGTAGGAGCACGGACCAAAACCCCCACCCCGCTGACGCGCAGTGTACCACTCACGAAGCTGCTGAGGGGACAGGGTGTCACGACCACGCTGCTGCTGCTGGCGCGAGCCACCACCGGAGCCACTCCTCTGCGAAGACCCGCGACCAGCACCACCGCCACCCCCGCCGCCTCCGCCGCCTCCGCCGCCTCCGCTACTGCCGCCGCCTCCGCCTCCGCCTCCGCCTCCACCGCCGCCTCCTCCGCCACCTCCGCTCCCACCGCCACCGCCGCCGCCACCTCCGCCTCCACTGCCGCCACCGACCCCTCCACCCCCACCTCCACTCCCACCGCCACCCCCACTCCCCCCACTGCCGCCACCTCCACCTCCACCGCCCCCGCTCGCTCCTCCAGCGCCCTTGCCCCCCTTGCCCTTGCCAGAGCGGCGTCTCCCGCTAGGGGCAGACGCCACACCGACCGACTCAAGACCAAGGAGGTCGGCCGCAGCAGCAGAGGCAACAGAGGGCAGAAGGGGGGAGGGGGAACACCCCTCAAAGATGGGGGTGCGCGGGTCACCACGAGAGGCCCCTACAGCGACTATGCTCTTCTCGGCCGCTAGGAGGGACTTCTCGAGGAGGTCAACAGTGAGAGTGGTGGGACAGACAGAGAGAAAGTGGTCCCTGACTACGCGAAGGGAGTCAGGAAGGCGAGTGACTATGTAGTAAAGAGTGATGTACATGGGGGGGGGGTTCTTGGCGCAGAAGTCAGGAGGGAGTGCAGCGCGGTAGCGAGTGTCACTAGTGCGGAGGTGCGTAATGAGGTCAGCGACTGTGGGAAAGGCAGCAAGGTCAGGAAAGAGGTACGGTAGCATGAGACGGCTCAGTGCAGCAGTGGCAGGGGAGGAGTAGCGCGCAACTACAGCGTCGTACAAGGTCTGAGCACTCTTGTACTGACTAAAGTGCGCACGCTCGGAGGTAGGGAGGTGGCGACGCACAGCAAGACGTGCAGCAGCGTCGCGCGTGGCCCACTGGGAGCGAACAGTGGCGTCAGCATCAGCAGCAGGGGCAGTGGAGGCGCCAGAGGTGAGGTCAAAGAGAGAGAGGCCGTCTGCCCTATCGCACTGTAAGAACAGCTGCAGGTCATCTACCCAGACCTCAAAGTCAATGGCCCGACCCTCACCGTCAAAGACGAGAACACTAGGGGTGGCCATGACCCTAGACGACTAGCAGCGCAAACAGTAGGGTGAGGGCAGTGCAGTGAAAAGGCGCTGCGCTCACCAGACTGGGCAGGTCGGGCGGCCCGGAAGGAGGGCGGCGCGGCGGCTCGGCGGCTCAGCTGCTGGGCGGCTCGGCGGGTCGGCGGCTCCGCTGCTGGGCGGCTCGGCTGCTGGGCGGCTCGGCTGCTGGGCGGCTCGGCTGCTGGGCGGCTCGGCTGCTGGGCGGCTCGGTTGCTGGGCGGCTCGGCTGCTGGGCGGCTCGGCTGCTGGGCGGCTCGGCTGCTGGGCGGCTCGGCTGCAGGGCGGCTCGGCTGCTGGGCGGCTCGGCTGCTCTGCTGTCGGGCGGCTCGGTTGTGCTGCTGAAGGGCGGCACGGCGGTCAGCTGCTCGGCCGGGTGAGACGGCTCGGGCGGCTAGGGTGGCGGGCGGCGCTGCAGCAGGTGACGGGGCCGAGTGGTAGGGTGGCGGGGCCGCCGAGTGAGGCAGCGGGGCCGCTAGGTAGGGCGGCGGGGCCGCTAGGTAGGGCGGCGGGGCCGCAGGTAGGGTAGGGCGGCGACAAGCCAGGCGGCGACGGGCCGGGACAGGCGGCGCACGGGCCACAACGGGCGGCGACGGGCCGGGGGAGGCGGCGCACGGGCCGCGACGGGCGGCGACGGGCCGGGCGGTGACGAGCCGCGACGAGCGGTGACGGGCCGGGACAGGCGGCGCACGGGCCGCGTCGGGCCGCGTCAGGTGGCGACGGGCCGGGACAGGCGGCGCAGGGGCCGCGTCGCACGGGACGGGCGGCTCACGTGGCCGGGGCGGGCGTCAAAAGGGCGGCGGGCGGGCCGCGTAGGGTGGCGACGGGCCGCTAAGGGCGGCGACGGCCGAGCAAGGGCGGCTCGAGGGAGGCCGCGACGGTAGAGAGAGGACCCGAGGCGCGACTCGGGCCTAAGCGGAGCGCGCTTCGGGCAGAAAAAAAAAATTTCGATGGTGGGCCCTAGGATCAGTTCCCACTAGGGAACCTGCTCGATACCATGAGAAGAAACAAGAGTGGATGAACTATGAATGAAGTGGGTACAAGTACTAACCCTAATTGGGTTGTACCCCCTATGGGATACCCCACTACAGCCTACACAAAAGTATAAGCTATAACGTTCTGACACATCATCAGCAGCGCGTCAGCTGAGGCAGTTACTGACGGCGAATGGCGCTGGCTGCTGCTGTAAATGTGGAAACAGAAGCGACACTCAAAGTGCTGGTATTTTCTATATCAAGCACCCCTGACTTCAAATTCCGAATCGGTAAAAGATGTGGAAACGCCGTTTCTCAGATACGAGCAAATAGCTTAGAGTGGAAATTTTATGCTTGGTAATTACATTATTGACGGTGTTTATGGAGATGGCCTTGTGTCGAGTTTTTTACAGTGCCTAGATAAAGGCTATGCGGATGTTGAGTGCTGAGGAGGTTGAATACCAAAATGCGCGACTCATGGTCTACCTTGGAACCGCAGCGCCATGACTACCAGACCCAAGAAGACTGACGGACGGTCAGATGTCTCCGTATTTTCCCAGTTTGGGCTGGTTGGTTGGTGAGCGACGGATCCAACGACTGATTCATGGATCGCGACAACCGCTGTCACTTTCTGGCGATCGAACCATGTCAGCTTGCGACCATTCGGTGGTGGCGAGGGTTCTAATAACGCGGGACACACCTCTCTACACTCGGTAGAGCGGAATTGCTTGTTTTGCTGCTACATGCCCGCCCACCAGACCAGCGCCAGTGTAGGGGAGAGTGGTTGGATGGGGGATGGGGTCCATGTCATCAGAACGAACGTTCATCCTCGATATAGGATCACCACTGTATCGAAGTTGAACCGATGCTCCAGACACGAGTCCACAAAAAATCCGTTTTCGAACAACATAACCGAAGAGAAGTGTGGGGCGTTCGGGTGTGTCACTTGGGCTATCTCACTCCTATGGAGTGAGATTGCCTGTTCGTCCAGAGGGGCTTATTTACGTTGTAAAACGTCTGGATATGTCATCAATTGAGCATACAATCTACACTGATGAGACACGCCCTTTTCAATCTGAAACAGTAAGTAGCGTTGACAAGGACCATAATTGTCCGGAACCGAGTAACAAACGGTTCCTATACTATCTAAATTGTTTGAGTTCGGTTTCTCGGTGTCAAATGCAACCAAAGCTGCGACTGAACATCACCCACCCAAGACATGCATGGCCTTCCTTCCTCACCCAAGTATGTCCTCCTGAAGCCACCTAGCGCTTTAGGTCCTGTTTTAGGTCTTTTACTGCTTGCTTCGTTGACCGTGGCTGATGCATGCATTCCCGTATGCGACATTGCACTCCCGTGCTTTTATCAAGGGGGATGGGGCCCATGTGCGTATTGGGTTGGCATGTGCGTTATTCCCCTTCATTCCTGCTCTAGTATTATCTGGCCTACTTAGTAGAATAGAGCCAATTTCATTCCTTCCTAAATAATCTCCAGCGTTGATGCCTTCAACGTTCCTCACGGGACTTATGCCGCAAACGCGTGTCGCACCTTCACAAGAGCCTTGACGCATACGCAGTGGCACGCGTTTCTGGAAGCGGGCTCATGGGGCTAATAGAAGCCTTTAGGGACCTAGTGTCCACTTTCCACTCGCAGCTTCGAAGCTTCTAAGGCTCATCTCGTATACGCAGCAGCAGTTGAGGGTTAGTTCGTCCTGTATTCACCGCAGTTTAAGGTTAGTTTATCCCGTGTACACAGCAGTTTAAGGTTCGTTTATCCCGTGTACACAGCAGTTGAGGGATAGTTAATCCACGTCTATTATCCTTCTTGGTTAAGTTGCGGTCCGTTTCAGTCAACGGTTCGACCGACCTAGGTTTTCCGTCGTCCATCTCATCGTGCACTGCAGTCCCCATTTCGTCGTCCCTCGCATCCAACGGTCGTCGTGCACTGCGACTCACTGCGATCTCCCAACCCAACGATCACGAAGATGGACCCGGTGCTCGTCCTCATAATCGCGAGCTGCATGACGCTAACGCAGTTCGCGTTGCAGCTCAAGGAGAATACCACCACCAGCGCTTACCTAAAAAACTTCGATCTCATGCTGGAATCAACGGCAACCCTGCACGCGCTGCTGACGGAGTTTAAGAGCTTCAAGGGCTGGGGTGTAGCCACGGACGGCGCGAAGAAATCGTTTCAGAGGCTTGAAGACCTTTTGCGGAAAGCCACGGCGTTGCTACAACGATGCATCAGCGCGCGGAGTAAACTGCTTCAGGTGCGAGTCTTACGGAAGAATATAAAATCTCTTATTTATTTTTCCGCATGTCAGGTGCATAGTGGCGGCATTGTTGCCTCAACATTTGGTTTTGTTTGCGTTTTCCCGTAGGATTCGACTCTGCGAAGCTGACGGCATCACATTAGGGACTCCATAACACAGAACTGGCTGCATTTCTGCTCCAATTTGTTGAGATCGTTGCAATCGAAGTCTTTGTGTTTAATTCGCGTACTTCATTAATGCAATAATCTTTTTATATGACGTGTTTCATGGAATGCAGCTGGTATCGGAGCACGCGCTACAGGCGCAGGACTTCATAAAGATGCACGCGGAGATGGAGCAGTGCCTCTCCACCGTCCCCATCCAAACCCTCCCTGAACCCCTCACCTCCAAGGTCAGTCGCCTTACACGCCCACGCGTCAACCCCCTCGCGTTGCAGGTAAGCGTCAATGCGGCTTAGACTGGGCGCGTTAAAGGTAAGCGTTTATCCATTGTCGGCTGGGGTATGGCGTCAAACAAAATCCTGTACTGCCAAAAAAGTAGGTAGCAAATCGTTGCGCATGGACGACCAGAGCTAAAAGCCTCACGGGCTCGAGCTAGCCGTTATGGCTGGCCGGTAGTAGCAGCTCTCCAGATGTCAAAACTGTTGTGATAAAGTATTCGGAATGGTTGTTCTGTCGTGTGTCTCCTTTCAATTCAGGCTAGTAATTTATTTCAACTTCAATTCAATAGTTTTCTCTCGTTTAATCTAGCAAGCGTTCAAAACATGAACATTTTGCATGAGCTAATTCTGGATTCCTTTTCCTTTTCCTATTCCTAGTTCCCTCTCTCTCAAGAAGTCATTGTGCACCTGTGTTGCTCTTTTTCTCTTCCCCTGCCTTTCTCTTCTTGCTCTCACATTCCCTCCCTATTCCCCTCCAACTCCCCGTTACCTCCCCCCACACATTCTCGCCAACAACCTCCCCCCCCCCTCCACCCCCCACCCCTCCCCCACCTCGCTCCCTATCCCTCCCCTCACCCTCCCCGTCCATGATTAAGCGCACGGTTACGTATTCCGAGTCAGTCACGTCCGCCATGCGTACTGCTGCACTCTCACTTTCCCCTTCCCCCTCCTCCTCTTTTCCCCCTTTTCCTTATCTTCAACCCACCCCCTCCATTCCCCCCCGCCCCCACCTTTCCCCGTTACCCCCCTCCTCGTCCCCGCTTCAGCTCACGGCGATGCGGCAGCAGCTGCTGAACACGCCCTTTACGGAGTGCATCACGCCCGCCATGCGCGCGCAGCTGCAGCTGCTGCTCTCCTCCGCCGCCTCCCCCTCCCCCGCGCTCAAGGACGCGCCCGGCTCCGACGTCCTCGCCTTCCAGCTGGCGGAGGCGCTCGGGCTGGGGCTCTCCGCGGAGGCCGCCAACCCGGGCGCGCTGCGCCGCGAGCAGGAGGCGCTGGCGCTGGAGAAGCGCAAGGCGCAGGAGGGGCGGGATTTGGCGCAGGCGAAGGTTGTGGAGCAGGTGAGAGGGGGGGAGGGGGAAATGGGGGGGATGGGTAACGAGGGGGAGGAGACCCGGAGTGGGGAGTTGTATGGGATCGGTGTGAATCAAGTTAGGGCGCAGGAGGGGCAGGACCTGGCGCAGGCCAAGGTGGTGGAGCAGGTGAGACTGGGGGAGGGGGAACCAGGGAGGGATTGGACAGAACGGGGTAGGAGATGGGGAGGATGATGAGGGGAAAGGGGGAAGATCCATGGGATAAGTGTGAAACACGTTAGGGGCGCAGGAGCGGCGGAACCTGGTTAGGCTAAGGTGAGACTGAGGTAGGAGGAACCGGGGAAGTGGGCAGAGAGGGGGAGGGGGATGAGTGGAGATGGGGGAGAGATATGGGATCGGTTTGAAACAGGCGCAGGAGGGGCGCGACTTGGCGCAGACTAGTGTGACTGAGGGATGGGCAGGGGAGGGGGAGGTGGGTGATGGGGGCAGAGGAAAGGTGAATGTGATGGGTGCGTTATGCACAGCAGAGGCGGGGTGCTGCGCAGGATAGAGTGTTGTACCAGGTGAGAGTGCGGGGAGAGGGAGGAGAGGCGGCGAGAACAGGGGGAAAGGTGGTTGGAGGGGAAGGGGAGGAGGGGGACAGTGGCGTGGGATAGTGCAGGCGCCTCAGAAGGCGAAGGAGCGGGAGGAGTAGGGGGAGGTCATGCTGCCACGCACAAGCCACGCACAAGCCATCCATGCACAAGCCATCCATGCACAGGCCATGCACAGGCCATGCACAGGCCATGCACAGGCCATGCAAAGTCGTGCACCATACTTATCCAACCACGTCCACCACCAGCGCCCCTTCACCCCTCCCCCCCTCCAAACCCCCCGCGTCTCTTACCAAGTAGTGCTGGTGCTGATGTGCATGGAGCGAGAAGTGGCAGCCCGTGCATGTTCTGCTCTCTGCCCACACCTCCCCTCATATCCCCTCTCTCTTCCCTGCCCTCCCATGCACGTCACCAGATAGTGCTGGTGCTCATGCGCATGGAGCGGGAGGTGGCAGCCCGTGCATGTTCTGCTCTCTGCCCACACCTCCCCTCATATCCCCTCTCTCTTCCCTTCCCTCCCATGCACGTCACCAGATAGTGCTGGTGCTCATGCGCATGGAGCGGGAGGTGGCAGCCCGCAGAGAGAAGCAGAAGCGTGCCGCTGAAGCCGCAGCAGGCAGCACTACCACTGCTGCTCCCGCCGCCTCAACTGCTCCCGCGCCCTCCTCCATCTTCGCGCCTCAACCCAGCCGGTCCCACGCAGCCGCAGCAGCACTGGGGATTAATCTGCTGGCAGAGAGCTTGACAGAGCTTAGTGTGGGAGGCAGTGACAGACAAGCAGAAACAGCAGCAGCGACCTCCCAGCAGCAGCAACAGGGGGGCGGGGCAGGGGCAGGAGCAGTGGCAGGGGTGGTGAGACATCAGGAGGGGCAGGAGGCAGCAAAGAAGGTGGTTGAGCCGATCAAGATGGTGCTGCCAGGAGATAGCGCCGCCGCCGCTAGTGCTGGTGTTGCTGGTGCACGGCGTGACAAGAGCCCACAGCCAGGGGTGGTAGGAGCAGACGGGGCAGGGGTGGGAGGGGCAGCAGCGAACGGGGCTGGGGGTGTGACAGCAGGCACAACAGCGGCAGCAGGAGGGGCAGCAACGGCAGCAGCAGCAGCGGCACGAGCACGGTCGCCCACGCCTGCAGCAGCAGTAGGCGCCGCCAGCAGCACTGCCACCACAGCAGCCACGAGAACTACTGCCGCAGCAGCACCAGCAGCCGCTCCAGCTGCAGCACCAGCTGCATCCCACGCGTCCAGGCCAGCAGCAGCAGCAGCAGCAGCAGCAGCAGCACCAGCAGCGGCAGCACCAGCGGGTCAAGCCACACAGGCAACAGGCGAGCAGGGGGTAGCACAGCAGATCATCCGCACGCTCCGTCTCGGCTCTGTGGACGAGAAGGCCCAGGCAGCCGGGCTCGTGGGCTGGCACACGAAATTCTCCGCCACCAACCGCGCCATGTTCCGCTCCGCTGGGGTCATCGACGCTCTGCTCCCTCTCGCCGCCGCCTCCTCTCCCCAGGAGGCGAAAGCAGCCGATGCCGCAGTGAGAGCCCTGGTGAATTTGCTGGCAGATGAAGATGTGAAGGTTGAGCTGATTGGGCACCTGCCGCTGCTGGTCCAGGCGCTGAAACGCGCGCAGCTGCCTGCCACTCGCGCCGGCATGGCGCGGATTTTTAAAGCGATTGCGACGATATCGGATGAGGCGTGTAAGGTGGTGGTGGATGCCGGCGCGGTGCCGCACTTAGCTAAGTTTGTCGATCCGAGCGCCGCTGCGGTGGCGCCGGCGAACCCGCCGCCGACGGGCGGCGCGGCAGTGGCTGCGGCCGCCGCCGCAGAGGAAGCTTCGAAGCAATGCGCGGCGGAAACCCTAGCGATCCTCGCGCAGGTTCCCTCAAAGCGAAGCAGAATGGTGGCAGACGGGGCCGTTGGCCCTCTCTCCCTCCTCGTGCTCTCCACCCCGCCGAACGAAACCCTAATTGCGGCGGTGACGGCACTCGCAGGGCTGGCGGGCGTGCACGAGGGGAGGGAGGGCATGGCGGCAGTGCTGCCGACGCTGGTGAATCTGCTGAGGGTGGAGGATGAGGGGGTGATGGCGCCCACTTTGGATGCACTGTTGCTGCTGGCCAAGCACAGCGCGGGGTACCGCAGCGGCATCCGGAATAACGGGGGGATGAGGCACTTGAGGAATGTGCTTCGCGTGGGGCCCTCGCCTCTCCACAACAAGGTGAGACTTGCTTTCTTGGCCATCCCTTCCCTCTGAAAAACAAAACGCTCTGCACCCCTCCTCCCCATAACTAGGTGGTATCGACCATTCCTCCCCTCCACCCCGTTCAGCTTTGTTTATGACAAGTTGCAATGCATGCCGTCCAATGTATGCCATCATACCAATGTATACCATCATACCAATGCATGCCATCATACCAATGCATGCCATCATACCAATGCATGCCATCATACCAATGCATGCCATCATACCAATGCATGCCATCATACCAATGCATGCCATCATACCAATGCATGCCATCATACCAATGCATGCCATCATACCAATGCATGCCATCATACCAATGCATGCCATCATACCAATGCATGCCATAATACCAATGCATGCCATCATACCAATGCATGCCGTCATACCAATGCATGCCATCATACCAATGCATGCCATCATACCAATGCATGCCATCATACCAATGCATGCCATCATACCAATGCATGCCATCATACCAATGCATGCCATCATACCAATGTACGCCATCGTTCCACACACGCCATCACATCTTTCCAGGCCATGGAGCTACTAGCGGCTCTCTTCTCATAGCCCTTCAAGCCATGGCAGTCTGGCCTTGGGAGTATGGAGTCTCCTTTTGAGCCACTCTCCATCCCTTGAATCACTCCCACATGCCATGGCAGGGCATGGAGCTGCTAGCGGCTCTCTTCTCATAGCCCTTCAAGCTATGCATGAAGCCATGGATGGGAGTATGCATGGAGTTTCCTCCGTGAAGGCAACCGGCCATTTGTTGATTCACTTCTGTATCTTCTGGGAATTCTCAAAAGCTGACAATCTGGAAGGAAGCCTGAAGCTTCACACAAATTGGGAAGTACGGTATCACCACGAAGATGGCAACTACATGTTACAGAGTTACACATTGCTTGCTGTATTTGCAGTCAGGATTCAGTACTCAAGTCATGTTATTGTAGGTAGGTAGTCATTTCCAGCTAGGTGGCTTAAGTAGTATTACCTAGTTGAGTTGGGCTAGTCTAGTTCCCAAACTGGTTGTCTAGCTGGTTGGCTAGCTAGGCACTAGCTGGTTGCGTCGCATGTAGTGCACATTACAATTCCCTTTGACTAAAAATATTTAGTAGCATATAAGGATGTAAGTGTCAAAATGTTATAATGCTTACATTGTTTAGGCTGTAGTGGGGTAGCCCATAAGGGGTACCATCCAATTAGGGTTAGTACTTGTACCCAACTCATTCATAGTTAATTCATTCTCGTTTAGTATTCTGACATGGTTTCAGAGCAGGTCCTGTTCCAAGACCGTTTTCTTTAGGGCCCACCGGATAGCGCTGCCCTACTAGTCGCGCTGCCCTGCCCCACCCTGCCCTGCCTGTCGCGCCGCCCTGCTGGGCGCCGCGCCGCCCTGCTGGCCGCCGCGCCGCCCTTTGCAGCCCGCGCGCCGCCCTTTGCAACCCGCGCGCCGCCCTGCTGCTGCCCACCCTGCCTTGCCCGCGCGCCGCCCTGCTGGCCGCCGCGCCGCCCTTGGCAGCTCGCCGCGCCGCCCTTTGCAGCCCTCGCGCCGCCCCTTATAGCACGCACGCCGCCCTTTGCACCCGCGCGCCGCCCTACTGCTGCCCGCCCTGCTACGCGCAGCCCTGCTGGCCGGCGCCCTGCTGCCCGCTCAACCCTGCTGCGTGCTTCTCTAGTGCTCTAGTGCTCGCGCGCCGCCCAAACTGCGTGACGCCCTGCTGGTCGCACGCCACCCTGCTCTGCCTACTATGGCTTCTCTCTGTGTACTCACCTTCGATCATGAGGGCCGTCCGATCCAGTTCGATACGTGGCTCGACGACTTACAGCTGTACCTATTGAGCGATTCTAGAGACAGCGTTTCGTTGTTTGACCACACGTCTGGAGCCTCTCTCGCCCCTCCCGCCACAGCTGACAGTGCGACTCGCTCACAGTGGCTTACCCGTGACGCTGGTGCTTGCTTAGCTGTTCGCAACCACCTGCCGTTAGCCGAACGCGCTCACTTTGGCCAGCACAAGACTGCCAAAGCCCTGTACGACGCTGTAGTCGCTCGTTACTCTTCCCCTACCATTGCTGCTCTCGGCCGCCTTATACTGCCCTATCTGTTTCCCGACCTGTCAGCCTTTGCCACAGTCGAGGACCTCGTTACCCACCTTCGCACTAGCGACGCTCGCTACCGCGCTGCCCTCCCATCCGAGTTCCTAGACAGGAACCTGCCCCCGAGGTACATCACTCTCTACTTCATAGTCACCCGCCTCCCTGACTCTCTTCGCGCTGTCAGGGACCACTTTCTCGCACTTGACCCCACAGACCTCACTGTCGACCTGCTCGAGAAGCACCTCCTTGCAGCTGAGACTAGCGTAGTCGCTGTAGGTGCTGCTCGTGGCACTCCTCGCACACCCTTCATTGAGGGATGTTCCCCCTCCCCCTTGCCCCCTTCTACGCTTCAGCTGCTGCTGTTGACATCCTTGGTGCTGAGGATGTCGGGGCTGCTTTTGCTCTTAGTGGGAAGCACCGCAGCAGCAAGGGCAAGGGTGGCAAGAGTGGTGGCGGTGGCAGCGGGAGTGGTGGTGGTGGAGGCAGTGGAGGCGGTGGAGGTGGCGGAGGTTGTGGCAGCGGTGGGAGTGGTGGCGGGAGTGGGGGCTTCGGTGGCGGCGGTGGTGGCAGCGGTGGGGGTGAGGGTGGCGGTGGTGGCGGCAGTGGGAGTGGTGGCGGCGGCAGTGGTGGCGGTCGGGGTGGAGCTGTTCAGAGGGGAGGTTCTGGCGGTGGCCAGAGGCAGCAGCAGCAGCGTCGGAGCAAGACACCTACGCCCCAGCAGCTTCGTGAGTGGTTTGCTCAGCGTGGGGCGTCTGGGGGTAGTGTTCGCTGCCCGTATGTCATTCGCACGGGTGACCGCGCTGGTCAGACATGCGGGAAGTTTCACTCTTAGCACCGCTGCTTCTCCCGCCTTGATGACGCTTGGCGCGCAGAGTTTGGTGACGAGGATGAGTGCCCCTGCTGGTCAGAGCTGCTTAGGTCTGGAGTTGATATCTTTGCTCTTGACTATGATGCTATCCTTGCTGCCATGTATGCCTTGTCTGTTAGTGCTGAGGGTGACTGTTACCTGTATGTGCCGCCCGACCCAGGTATAGAGGCTGCTGCTCTAGGTGCTAGTGAGTCTGCTCTCCCTGGTACTGCGCCTGCTGAGGCCTTGCACACCTTCACACTTGACTCAGGTGCTTCCCGCTGTTTCTTTCGCGACAGTACCACCCTCACTCCACTCCCTCCACCTGTTCCGGTCAGACTGGCTGACCCCTCAAGGGGCCCAGTTCTTGCCCATTCCTCCACTGTTCTCCCATGTTCGGCGGTTCCGTTTGGCTCACTCTCAGGTCTTCACCTCCCCTCGTTCTTTACGAACTTGGTGAGTACCACTGCCCTCCGGGATGCGATGGTCACTACTACCACTCTTGGGGGTCAACGTGTGTCGATCTGCACGTGTACACGGACGGGCCGTCACCTGGCCACGTTCACCCTTCGGCTTAGGTCGAGTCTGTACACACTGACTACCGAGCCTCTTCAGGTAGCTGCGTCTGCTCAGGTGTCCGTGTAAGGTCCGGTAGCAGCCCCCTGCTCGTGTCGCCTCCTGTGGCACCAGACTCTCCTGTGTCACCACCGCCTTGGTCACCCCTCCCTGCGATGCCTTCGTGGCATGCACTCCCGCCTCCTTGTTTCTGGTCTTCCCAGGTCTCTGCCTCCCCTCCCGCCCTTGCCTGCCCCGCCCTGCCTTCCCTGCGTCGAGGGGTGGCAGCGCGCCGCTCCTCACTCCTCCTCGTTTCCCACGACGAATGTTCCCCTGCAGACTCTCCACATGGACATGTGGGGCCCAGCCCGCGTCAGAGGATAGGACCGCGAGCGCTACTTCGTGCTGGTTGTTGACGACTACACGCGATACACCATGGTCTTCCCCTTGCGCAGCAAGGGTGAGGTCCCTGATGTCTTGATCCCTTGTATCCGCGCAGTCCGTCTCCAGCCCCGCGAGCGGTTCCGCGAGGACCTTCCTGTCCTGCGTCTGCACTCTGACAGAGGTGGTGAGTTCTCCTCCGACCTCTTGCGGTACTTTTGTCGTGGGGAGGGCATTGTCCAGTCGTTCACGCTTCCGGCCTCCCCGCAGCAAAATGGGGTTGCTCAGCGCCGCATTGGCTTAGTCATGGAGGTGGCTCGTACTTCCATGATCCATGCGGCTGTTCCCCATTTTCTGTAGCCGTTTGCGGTCTGGTACGCTGCGCATCAGCTCAACCTCTGGCCCCGTGTCTCCTTGCCGAAGACCTCGCCTACACTGCGTTGGACGGGGAAGGTTGGCGATGCATCGGTGTTACGGGTCTGAGGCTCTCGTGCCATTGTGGCGATGCATGAGGATGGGGCAAAAACGATTACGCGGATGCCCCGCTCACCAAAGAAGAAGAAGAGGAAATAGAACGAGAAATGGCTGCATAACGCGGAGAGCGATCACCACGCGTCATAGACCTGCTCGAACGTCGCCCGCGGAGCCTCTCCTCACCTCCCCGTTCACCTTACACCTGGGAATCCCACGGGTCGGAGATTGAGGAGGGAAATGTACCAGCAACTCCGCCACGCGACTCACTAGGACCAATCTCCCGCCTAGATCCATTCGCCCGCTTCATTGAGGGCACCAGGACTCCACTCAACATCATCCCCGACCACAACTTCCTCGCGCTCTACCTCACAACGGCACCTGCAGAAGGGGATACAGCAGCGGAACTAGAAGCAGAGGAGCAAGACAACGAAGCAGAGCCAGGAGAAGAAGAAGGACCCGTGCTCAAAATCCCGTATGAAACAGACGAAGAAGCAGCAGAGCACCACGCACGTTACCTGTGCACTGTGAAAGTAACGAACGAGAATGAATGAACTAGCAAAGAGTTGGGTACAAGTACTAACCCTAATTGGGTTGTACCCCATATGGGCTACCCCACTATAGCCTACACAAATGTGAAAGCTATAATGTTCTGACACAC